GGGGGGGGCTGGACTTGAAAATTCGTCTCGAGTATTACATTTCTGTTAAATTGCAGATCCAGCCACTTCCTTGGACGACCCTGATTATAAGCCAGACAATGAGGACGGCGGCGGCGAGGTCCAGGCCCCCTCTGCTTCACCTTCAACGGTCGTGAGCTCTAAGTTGTTTGGCTATTTGGACAAGGGTGGCTGCAGCCAGAGGCCTGTGCCGAGCGAGCTACGCGAGCTAGCCCTGAAGTTGGCGGCCGCCGGCCGACTTAGCTCTCCGGAGCTCGCCGATCGTCGCTCGCGAGCTGTGCGAGCTCATCTGCTCTCGAGCAAGGCGGCAGGCACGGCGCGGCGTTGAGGCGGCGCGGCTTCGATCCCCGCCAGAGGCGTTCACTTTTATCGGCTTTCCGAGTACAACATCCCAGAAATAATACCGTCAATACAATGAAGAGTGTTAAATGTAATAGTTTGTAAAATTTAGTTAAGTTTGACCGCAGAAAAAAACTGCATCGACGGGGATCGAAGCGCGGTCCTCGATCTCATGACAGTTCGGCCGACGGAGACCACCGGGCTGCTGACAGATCGTTCGGCTGCGCATTCAAACTGTGCTCTCGCGCTAGCTCGCCGAGCTCGTGGCAAGCAGGCCGCCGAAGCGTTGCTCGCGTAGCTCGCTCGGCACAGGGCTCTGGCTGCAGCTCGTGTACTGCGTTCCGCACAGTGGCTTCTGTGGCTGCTGCTGCCAGTCTCCCTGTCCCACGACTGAAGTGCAGTGCAACAACGAAAGAGAGGCGAAAGAGAGCCGCGGATCGCAAGAAGCGGGTGGACCAGATTCGCACTGAATTTGCACAGAAGAGGGGCATTGGGCTCACTATCCATTGGGACGGGTCAAAGTGGATCCACTAGGCAGTGGCGGCAGTCGTCGGAAACAGGTTGAACGCCTTCCTGTTATTGCCACGGGTAAATACTTTTGTTATTGTTTCGTTCATTGCATTGTTCGGCTGTAGTGGAAATACCTAATTAAATTCGAATCGATTTTCAGGTGTGGGCGTGGAACAGTTACTTGGTGGAGGCGCAATTGAGACCGGCTCCGGCAAGGATACGGCGGCGGAGGTCGTCCGTTGTGTCCAGGAGTGGGGCTGCGCAGACGATGTCGTCGCCCTGTGCTCAGACACGCCCAAAAGTAACACGGGCTACAACATCGGTGCAGCGACGCGGATAGAGAAAGCTTTAAACAAAGATCTACTGTACTTGGCATGTCGTCACCACGTGCTGGAGCTGATACCAAAAGCACTCTTTGACAAAATGGTCGAGACATCGAGTAGCCCTGACATCGGTGCACTCTGCAAGGATCTCCAGGACAAGTGGGACACCATGGACCACACTTCATTCAAGCCCGCCACTGAAGATGAGGACTGTGTTGATTTTTTACTTGAACGTCGTGAGGGCC